GTCAGGCATTCCTGACATTTACTTAAAATCATGTTAAGAAGATAGCAGTAATTAATTTACATTATTTACAGTGCCCTATATGTGTACTGAAGGGTACTTTAACAATATTTCAGTTTGTGGTAGGATTACTCCTAATCCAACAGGCAGCACGGAATGAGTGATGGATGAGGGGCTTTACGTCAGGCATTCCTGACATTTACTTAAAATCATGTTAAGAAGATAGCAGTAATTAATCTACATTATTTACAGTGCCCTATATGTGTACTGAAGGGTACTTTAACAATATTTCAGTTTGTGGTAGGATTACTCCCCATCCAACAGGCAGCACGGAATGAGTGATGGATGAAGGTGTATAAGTCAGGTGTTCCTGTCAAAAGATCAGTATTTAATCTTGTAAGGGTACCACACGGTAGACATTACATTGTTGATTGAGAACAAATTCCCGTGATATTATTTACAGTGCTCTATGTGTGTACTGAAGGGTACTTTTACAATATTCTAGTTTGTGGTAGAGTTCTTCCACATCCAACAGGCAAAACGGAATGAGTGACATGATGGATGAGGGGCTTTAAGTCAGGCATTCCTGACATTTACTTAAAATCATGTTAAGAAGATAGCAGTAATTAATCTACATTATTTACAGTGCCCTTTATGTGTACTGAAGGGTACTTTAACAATATTTCAGTTTGTGGTAGGATTACTCCCCATCCAACAGGCAGCACGGAATGAGTGATGGATGAGGGTGTATAAGTCAGGTGTTCCTGTCAAAAGATCAGTAATTAATTTTGTAAGGGTACCACACGGTAGACATTACATTGTTGATTGAGAACAAATTCCCACAATCAATAAATTACAAATCTAAATATTTATATAAGTAATGCAATACTAAATCGGTGAAATTGCATTTACAAAAGGTAATCTGCTAAAGTAAAGGTATCTCGACAATATAGCATTGAAGTATTAGAAATGGAACTGTACTATTATACAACACTCAACTGTACTGTATTAAACAATATTATATCCAATTAAACGACATTAAACCAGAGAAGACAAGAACTTGAGAAAGGAACAATTCACTAACCGTACAAAAACTGATATGACGTTCAGGTGAGTATTAATGAAAATTTTACAGTAGCGCTCGATTTCTTTCATAAATTTTCAAAGTGCTCAGATCCGCGAAATATATATATTTTTTCTTTCGCTCTTAAAACTATTTTGCACTACAAAACTATCAAATAGTATTATTGGACAGTATTTTAACACTTATTGGGCAAAAATATTTCATTGTGGATGTATAAAGAGCCAAAAAAATTTTGCGCGCAAAAAAACATTTTTTTTGAAGTTTTTTTAAATTTTGAACGGGTTAACTCTTATGTGTGCTTATAAACTTAATATTTGCTAATGCGGCATATCAAAATGTATTAGAAACCGAAATATCTAAGCTTTTGATTGAAATTAACCTATCGATAATCCTGAAAAACCTCAAAAAATAGCCATTTTTAGGGCCAAAAATCAGTTTTTTTCTAATAAAACCAGGTTCCCCCCATTTTCAACACTTCCCACTATTACCAATCGATTCAGGGGCCAAAAATACGTCTTTTAAGACATGTCTGATGACTCTGGTGTATCGAGCAGAAAATCCCCGTAACAGCTCCTACTAATAACAAATTGGAGACAGAGGTGCGAGAAAAAACATTGTTAATATAAACAGTCTAGATCTTAACTTGGAGCCACAAGGCCAAGGGTAATTTTTGAGTGTTTAGGGAATTTTTATATTCTTAAAGGTTTGATTTTATATAGGGTCATTGCTATATTATGTGTATATTGTTTGAATAATTTTATATTTAATAATAACAAATTTCCCTGACTGAAGATAAATTTGTTTTGTAAACATTGATTCACGATGTCAATCCTTCGCAGCTCGGTGAGGCACAGTGGTGCATCTCGCCGATCTACCGAGAAGCATTATTTGATGCGCGCGCGACCCAGTAGTGCATCGCGCTACAATGTAAACATTACATACAGTAGTCAGTATTGTTGAATTTGAATTAAAAATTGTGTGATCTGGAGTATGACTGATTTTTATCGTAATTACTGCCAGGTCATCAGTGATTTACACGTGATACAGGAACTGTGGCCTTCTTGTCATACGTTGTATGACCCGCCGCGCACGAAGTGCGCGGCTCCCCCTGTAGCGTCGAAGACGCTACCATAGTGAAACGACCGTGGGGGTCGCAACGTGATACAATGGCCTTCAACCACAAACCAGACCAGTCATAACATTTATTTTGACATCCTCTATTGAAGAGGACCACGCCATTTCGACGGAACTCGATACAGTAAACGACTTAAACTCCTAGAGGCTTTCCATCCCGGCAGTTTAATTAAGAATATTCAAACAATATACACATAATATAGCAATGGCCAATTGGCTGACTATAAGGTCATGGCCTGAACAAACAATTTTTTAAAAATAGCCAAGTGATGCTAAAGCAGAGCACAAATGTGTAATAAGTTAATAGATTAAAAAAACTGATTCATGTGATGCATTACGCAGAGCACAGATAAAAATACTGATTCAATGATTAAAATTATAGCTGTGAGTGTCAATAAATTACTGTGTCATAAAAAAGGAACGATGTACACGTGATCTGAGATACCAATATCTCAATATCAAAAGGATAGTGTCTAGAAACATTCATAGTCCATGGTGGCAGGTATCAAGTTAAACGAAGTTACACTGACTGGCAATGTATACGATTGCCGTCTCCCTCTCTCACCCCTGACCGCTATCAGGGTGCTCCTGAGGATTGAGAATCTAATCCTGGTGCGCATGTAACACATAATAGCCGCATAGTCTTCTCCTCTCTTCTGGGATAGTTTTTCAGCGAGTCTCTTGTGGTATCTTGTGGCTTGTGGACCCCATCCGCCATTTGTTGAGTATATAAGTGGATGGGGTCCACTTATATAATAATCCTCAGGAGCACCCTGATAGCGGTCAGGGGTGAGAGAGGGAGACTGCAATCGTATACATTGCCAGTCAGTGTAACTTCGTTTAACTTGATACCTGCCACCATGGACTATGAATGTTTCTAGACACTATCCTTTTGATATTGAGATATTGGTATCTCATATCACGTGTACATCGTTCCTTTTTTATGACACAGTAATTTATTGACACTCACAGCTATAATTTTAATCATTGAATCAGTATTTTTATCTGTGCTCTGCGTAATGCATCACATGAATCAGTTTTTAATCTATTAACTTATTACACATTTGTGCTCTGCTTTAGCATCACTTGACTATTTAATAAAATTGTTTGTGCAGGCCATGACCTTATAGTCAGCCAATTGGCCATTGCTATATTATGTGTATATTGTTTGAATATTCTTTTCCATTTGTATATAAGTGGGGTAAAGGTGCCTTTTTCCACCTGGATGATTCTGTTGTTGTACTTTTTCATTTTCCTCATTTCATGAGCTTTATAGATCTGTTCCATATCTTTTTTGTCATATGTGGGTGAGTTGGGGTGGGTAATCCCGGCAGTTTAATTTGTTTAATCGGAAAAATGTCAAACAGTATATATATAAATATATATGCCTGGTCCATGCCTTCTTTACCTTTCCAGTTTCCACGTACACTGCTACAAGCACACTCCTCATTATATCCATGCTCAGGCGTGTCCTGATGTTACACATCACCTGGTTGTAGTCCTCCTTGGTTTTGGTGGCTATCAACACAGCAAATCTCCTCATGAAACGCTTGTGCCTAAACGTGCAGAAGTGAAAACAAATAATACCAAAGAAAAGTCAAAATCCCCCAAAACATACCCAAAACCAAGCTTGTGGGTGCTTTACTTGCATTGTATCTAGTGGTATCCTGAACATGTATAGTTTGTTAGTTGACTTGCATATCTCAAAAAATATGAATTCGTATTAGACAATCTTTATGAAGAATATAGTATTGCCCACCTAAAGGGGGCAGTGGATAATAAGTAATTTGCTTTTTTGATTTAATAGTAATCAAAAGAAACGTTTCACAAACAAATCAAGCTGAAGCCCCCTTGCCCCCACCTACCCCGCTCCCCAAATGGACAGCTTTGCTGACCTTGTTGTCCCAACACACTAGACTGATGTTGGGATGTCTACCCCTGGCGCGGTGCCTGCCTGGGTGAATAAATCAGTCAAGCTTCATGTATGTTATGTTTTAGCATTCTCAACCAACAAATGTGGAAACTCACACAATGAAAGACCAAAAATAGATTTCAAAAAGACTATTGAAAGAATCAAATAAACGAACATAAATTTGTATGAAGATAATATTATTGCCCACATAACAGGGATGGCGGATAATTATTTGCTATTTTGATTAAATAATAATAACGACCTTGTTAACCAGGATAAAAACTAGGAAGAATATAGCTTAAATTTTGAGAAATTTTATTATTATAAGATGGGTGCACTAAAAGATGGCCTTAACATTTGGGGAGCTAAACTTGTGGTAAAAACGAATTTACCTATTATATTATTTTCTTTCCCAAAATGTGCGGTAAATTGGGGTTTTACTGTGTACTGTATAGAAATTTTATAATCTATAGAATCTAATTTAAATAGCTTAACCAATATTTAATAATGTAATAATAATGTGCTAGAACACTTCCAAGCTAGATTTACCAAACTATGCATATGTACTTTTCATTTAACAAGATTTAATTATTTTTTTAAGCGAGTTTTGGGTGGTGGTCCTCTGAATAATTTCCATAGTCTGGTTTCCACCCAGTTCTGTAATTTCAATTCTGAATAGCTTAGATTTTGTGATGTTAATATTATTTTTCAGTTAAACCCCTCTTTTCAAATCTATCTATAAGAGCAAGTTTTTATAGCTGTAAGTGTAAGCCCCTCTGCATCTTTTAATTCCTAACTTTCTTTAGATATGTACATTATGCTTAAATTTACATATTATGTAATTGTTCTTTTCACAGATATATTTTATATAGGGTAGGGTAGCTGTAAAATCGAAGAAGCCAACATGGCACAAGTGATGCCTATCCGGTTTCAAGAGCACTTGCAGGTTTGTTGATCATGTCCTCGTTTGTATTTAGATGCCCAACTTTTGGTCATATTTTTACAAGAGCTCCATTGCAGCTTCTTTTCTGAATTCTGATTCTTACAGACTATTCTTCAAACTCCTGACTCGGAAATTGATGTAACAGTAAAATTATTTCAGCTCACCAATATTGGCATTAACAGTGCCAACATCGGTTTTTCGATGATCACCATGGAATCAGATAAATTCATATGTATCAGAGAAAAAAATGGCGACCAGTCCCAAGTAAGTAATATATGAAATCATTAATTAAGCTTTTTTTACTGGTTCTAGACTGGAAATTCTCATACCTATCACCTAATTGGGTGAAACTGATCACTGATGTAATCAACGAGAAGTTTTAGTCTGTCATAACAATCAGACCATCTGATCGAATCCGATTGCTCATCTAATCTATTTTTACTAATGATATTTTCCTTGATCAGGTAGTAATAGTTGATATGGCAGATCCAAACAATCCCATAAGACGTCCAATTTCTGCAGATTCTGCTATTATGAACCCCTCAAGTAAAGTTATAGCCCTTAAAGGTACGTGTTAACTTACTTGTACTATTAAATTTTACTTTAATTTATCATAATACTGTAGTTTATTTACATCAAACTATAGCTTACGCCTCACATCGTGCTTCATATCATATCATGTCGTTAATAATTAGATTTTGTCTACCTCAGCGCCTGCCAACCAGGTGTTTTAAAAAGTTATTAATCTGTTTTGCATCTTTTTCCGCCCATGTATAATATTGTTACATGTATCCTCACACACGCGCAATGTGTTCATGTTTGATTTTTTGTCTAAATGGCAATTTAACTCACATTATTAATTAGTAATCGTAATGATTAAAACTAAAATTTTCTAACACACTTCCTATTCTTTCAGCTGGTCGGACATTACAGATATTTAATTTGGAAATGAAAAGTAAGATAAAAGCCCACGTATCAAATGAAGATGTCATCTTTTGGAAGTGGATCTCAGTTAACACTATCGCACTTGTAACAGAAAACACCGTCTATCATTGGCCCATGGAAGGTAAGACAAATGCTGATTATTTTTGTGTCTTTATTTATAATTATTTTTCATGGTATGATTTGAAAAACTCATTCTACATTTTCTCATTACATTTGCTTTGTACATAGTTTGCAAATTTTTATGTAAGATTTTTAGAAGACTTCCTCAATCTATAGCATAGCTGTTTTAAACTAATCAAAACACTACATATCCATTACATTTACTGGGTAAATGTAAGTATTAAGTAACAGGCTTTGATGGGAATAATTTGGCTGAGTCTTATTTGTTAATGAAAAGCACTAATTATATGTAACACCGTGTACTAGCACTGATTCCTACATGTCATTCCCCTTTATTGATTTTCTGAAGAGCGTCTGGTATTTTTCCTTCCTATTGAGCTGGAGTTGCTTTAAAAAGACTGAATTTGAATATCATGAGACGAATTTATAATGGTTTTGCGGTATTCACACAATTGGAAGAGTAACTCGTTTACAATTTTTATGCTTCTAAATCTAGCGTGTTGGTCTGAACTCTGAAGTCAGCTGTTAACTGTTCCTTTGAAGTAGTGTCATGTAATGTAGTCATGAATTATGTAGTATGAATGGCAGTGTATAACTTAGTAACATCTAACTAAACGAAGCCTCAGTGCTCTAATAGATAGTCACATGATAGTCACGTGATAGTATGTACCTCGTGTTGTCTGGATGTTATAATTGGGTACGGCAGGCTTTTATCAAATGAGAACTTGAGAACATTCACAGTACATTCATTTAATCTGTAGCGTCGCTTGTAATTCTAGACGAATTAAGTCAGTGTATGGAATTTCACTGTTTACATCATGTAACATTTGTTTTCAGACTTCAGAGATCCCCTTAACATGACAGTGTATTCACATTTCACGGTTGTACTTCACTTTCAATATGACGTATTAAGTGTAAATATAAATTGAGATGAGTAGTTCCAAATTAAACAGTAACTTAGCTTCATATTGATGTAATCTGTAAGGTGGAAAGCGGTAAACATAAGGTCAGACACATGTTTGATAAAATTTCCTTATCTTTTTTCCATTAACCTGCCTGTAATACGATAGTTGATAACGTTCTGACCCAAGCAGTCCTATCCTAAGAGTTTGTTCACGTTTGGTATTACATAAAGGGGAAAATATCATACATAACCTAGAAGAGAAACAACTTAAAGTTAAATTTCTGACGATAAATTATGTAAAGCTGCCCCTTACATCACTCAGCCAGCTCAAAATAGACGGTTGAAAATGGTATCACGACCACTGTAGCTTTCAATGCATGCTATTTGTTAATATGAAGGATTTCGGAGTTACATCGTAGACAGACCATCGTGGTCGTCCTGCCATTCATTCTATTCTGTGCTACATGACAAACTCAACTACCATGGTTTACACTCACATATAATTATGTCTTCTGATTGGGAAAGTACAATTTTTGAATCTTTTCTCCATCTTGGTAACTTTTTGTAGATAACAAATAAGCTGACACTGTTAATTTCAGGGGACGCCCTGCCACAGAAAGTATTCGATAGACACAGCACATTGAAGGGATGTCAGATAATAAACTATAGGACGGATGAAGCTATGAAGTGGCTTCTTCTGGTCGGTATCTCGGCTCAACAGCAACGTGTGGTGGGAGCCATGCAGCTTTACTCGGTGGACAGGAATGTTTCTCAACCTATCGAGGGACATGCTGCTGCTTTCGTCCCTTTCACGGTACGTTTTTTGTGTTTGTACTTAGCCTTTTGTTAAATTATTGTATTTGTTAAGTTATTGTTGTGTGGTCATTCAGGGTTGATCATGCACATTTGTCTTACCTTCTGATCGCAAGATTTTGGATCATTATATTTTGAATTCTGCCTCAAAAGCTTGAGCTGATTGGTGAAATGCAAACATAATAAATACCCCAAAAGTCATATCATTTACAATATAGATTTGTTATGAATACTTATTTGAATTGAATAGCTGTTATTAAAGTTTACCTCAACTTCCCTCTCCTCAGGTTGAAGGCAACAAAAACCCCAGCAACATATTCGCTTTCTCAGTCAGGAATCAGACGGGCGGTAAACTTCACATCATAGAGGTAAGTGTGTGAAACCTGAGAATGAACTAACTGCCGTAAAAAAGAGCCCCACTTTTTTAGAACAGTAGAAAAAACGAGAGTCACGCGGAGATCATGAGATATAGCGTGACGTAATGAGACTTGCTGTGACGTAATGAGACTTGCTGTACATATTTTAAAGTTCAACACATCATGGTACATGTGACATTGTGACTCGTCCAATATTTCGTAATATACACACGCAGCTCAACTAGATGGAACAAACACACAGATGTTTTTACTGAAGTCCATTACTTTATGTAAATTGTAACGTGATATTACCAATGTTTTATCCTCCTATAGGTTGGTGCACCCGCAGAAGGAAACACTGCTTTCACCAAGAAGACTGTTGATGTTTTCTTCCCTGCTGAGGCTCCCAACGATTTCCCGGTTGCAATGCAGGTGAGAAGCCTAATCGAATATGCATTATTCCAATTTTGGACACATAGTTTCCACATTCATAAAGTGTTTTAATGTACAGTAACCGTGTATCTATCTGAAAAATGTATGCCTTAATTATGCAGTGATCACGTTTAACCGCTAATAAAACTGATCATTAATGTAAACTACACCCAACGCTAACAAGAATCTCTGGAATTTAGGCGAGCAAGGAGCACGGTTTACTTTACATGATAACGAAATACGGGTACATCCACCTGTACGACATAGAGACCGGGACCTGTATCTACATGAACCGTATCTCCGGGGACACTATATTTGTGACAGCCCCTCATGAAGCAAGTAACGGAATTGTGGGAGTCAACAGGAAGGGCCAGGTATGTACGTGGCGAAATGACCGTATCTTGGCTATCGCCCTATCCAGGAATCATTTACATTTTATTATTTGAGCCGCGCGCAGCGCAATAAAGCGAACAGTGTCAGCAAATTCCGGGTCGAACGCATACAAAGCACAATTTTCGAAGCAGCGTGTTATACGCCAACTGGCCACGTACATACTTCTTGGACATAATAGAAACCAGATACCTGGATTTTCGGACTAAATTTCCTTCACATATCTCTGCTTTGAAACGCTTTGAAACGACAGTCCTCATAAATAATTCTCTAGACGCGATGAAATCAGCACAACTCTACTAATTTCCAACATTATCATGCTGACAGTAGCTTTGTGCGCAGCGGTGCAAAGCAATCGTTAAAAATGACTTTGCTAATCTTGAGCAAATCACTGATTACATAGGCTTACATATTTCCCCACCCCTATTGGTATGTACAATGAAATGTATCCCATGTCAGGTACTATCAGTCAGCATAGATGAGGACAATATAGTTGGTTACATTACCAACCAATTGAAGAACCCGGAACTCGCCTTGAAGATCTCTGTGCGCTGTAACCTGGCAGGAGCTGAGGAACTGTTTGTCAGAAGGTTCAACATGCTGTTCGGACAGGGCCAGTACTCTGAAGCTGCCAAAGTTGCTGCCAGTGCTCCAAAGGTAACACGTCAGAACATATTTGGTAAAGCTTATTTATAGGGGTTCTGGCAGAGTTACCGTGGGTGACAGTTACGGATATATTTCTATAGCTATTATATTGAATATTCATATTGTTCTCTGACAGGGCGTGTACATTACTACGTCAACTTACTCTAATTATCTAATGTACATTGTACGCATGAAAATTGGAACTAGACTGTCATTGTACACGAATTGCGTCTGAATCAATGTTTTGTTATCAGGGTATATTGAGAACACCTCAAACGATCCAAAGATTCCAGCAATGTCCAGCACAACCTGGCCAAGCTTCTCCTTTACTCCAATACTTTTCTATCCTCTTGGAAACCAGCCAACTCAACAAAGCTGAATCTCTGGAGCTCGCCAGACCTGTTCTCCAGCAAGGCCGAAATCAACTCCTGGAGAAATGGCTCGTTGAAGGAAAGGTGAGTACAACAGCTACAGCAGACAGCTATGAGTAGTACCCTACTCATTTTTATCATCACTGAGAATAGTACCCTCCCAATTTAATACCTTTCAGCACTTTCCTTACTCCCTTGGGATTTGGTTATTAATAATATCTATCGTGTATATATTTACGATGTTCCAAAATGCTCAGTAATTATGTTCCCAGCTCGAATGCAGTGAAGAATTGGGGGATCTCATCAAAGCTCACGACTCAACTCTTGCTCTGTCCGTCTATCTGAGGGCTAATATCCCGCAAAAGGTCAGTGGTCACATGGTCCCCTGGTTTTACAGTATTTTTCACTTCTAAGTAGGTCGACTCTGCAGCTCCTAAAATAGTTTCTTGAAGAGAAATTTTGGAGCTTAGTGAGTCAAAATAAGTGCATGGCATGGATTGCTATTTTTTAGTTTCATAGGTCTGTCAAGTGTTCTGCAATTGAAACTGGGACCAGCGGATGAAACGACTCAGAGTGCAACCAAGACCTTGAGTTGGAACATTCAGACTTTTCAATTATTCAGTTTTGAGAGCGCAATTTATAGTTTATCATTCATATAATGTCTATATCGAAGTTTTTGCATGTTTCTATCTATATAAGTACCTGTAATTTACTGCACATAATTTTTGAGCTGTTTAAGTTTTTTGTAAATCAGGGAAGTTAAGAAAATGTTTTACAGAGTATTTTTGTACTTTTACTGTCGTAGATAACGCAATTTGTTTACCACATTGATATATTCTCATTATTCTTTGTCTAGTAGATACATTTCTTTGTATCAACTGCAACCGAAGAAATCAATATGATGAATTCAATAATTACCTTGATTTCTGTGAAGCAGCAATTTTAACTGCAGAAGATTTCAATGTGATTCTAGAATTTTCTACCTCAGCTTAACATGCTTCATCCAGGTCATTATCTGTTTTGCCGAGACAAACCAGTTCCAAAAGATCGTTTTGTATGCGAAGAAAGTCGCCTACACTCCTGACTATATCTTCCTTCTGCGTAATGTGATGCGGGGTAATGTAGAGAATGGTGCTGCTTTCGCCGGTATGCTCGTTCAGGATGATCCTCCTCTAGCTGATATTGAGAGTGTGAGTGAATCTTCATCTTGATAAAATCTCGTTTTCGTCAATGTGTTAAAAATGTTTGACGATGACTCTACTGAAGGTTGGAAGATAGAAAATAAAATAGCCTTTTCTTGAGCTGACATCATCCTATTAACTGATTTTTATCTTTACAGATTACAAATGTGTTCATGGAACAGAACCTAATACCTCAATGCACATCATTCTTGCTTGATGCTCTGAAACACAACAAGCCTGAAGAAGGACATCTCCAAACCAGACTTCTTGAGATGAACTTGATGAGTGCCCCACAGGTTTGTTCTGAATTTCATCTCAAAATAGGATCTATAAATAGACCAAAGCTTTGTTTACCAGTTAGGAGATTGCTGATTAATCAGCTAAACTGGATTTAGTAAAACAAACATCATGCATGCTCCTAACACAGGTAAGTTCGATCAAACACGGTTCTGTTTCATCAAATAAAGTTTTGTTTTCAATCAAATACAGCTGTATTTTAGATCTCTGATAGTCTCCATAAATCTCAGGTAGCCGACGCTATTCTTGGGAACCAGATGTTCACCCACTACGATCGAGCCCACATTGCCCAGCTTTGTGAGCAGGCTCAGCTTCTTCAGCGTGCTCTCGAGCATTACACCGACATCTTCGACATCAAACGTGCCATTGTGCACACCCATCTTCTCAAGCCGGAGTGGCTGGTGGAATACTTCGGTTCACTCAGCGTCGATGACAGTTTGGAATGTCTGAAAGCCATGTTGACTGCCAATCTTCGACAAAACCTACAAATCTGCGTTCAGATAGCTGGAAAGTACCACGAACAGCTGGGTACCACCAAGCTGATCGAGCTCTTTGAAAGCTTCAAGAGCTTCGAGGGACTTTTCTACTTCCTGGGAAGTATCGTGAACTTCAGCCAAGAAGCGGAGGTGCACTTCCGGTACATACAGGCGGCCTGTAAAACTGGTCAGATCAAGGAGGTTGAGAGAATCTGCAGAGAGAGCAGCTGCTACGATCCTGAGAGGGTGAAGAACTTCTTGAAGGAGGCTAAACTCGCCGATCAGCTTCCGCTCATAATCGTCTGTGACAGGTAAAATAAGGATATATAAACAGCTACTCGATCAAACATAATTTTTTATGTGTTTTCCTCTTTGAATCCATCGCAGAAGTAGATATGATTGTGTCCGTTAAGGGAAAAGTAGGAGCTTTCGCTTACATGGATTCAATATATTTGACAACATTTATTTTCGCAGGTTCAACTTTGTTCACGATTTGGTGATGTATCTGTACAAGAACAATTTGCAGAAATACATTGAGATCTACGTCCAGAAAGTAAGTTGTTTTAAAATTTGTTTTAAAGTTTTAAAAATGGCCCTTACTTACTTTCCGTTTACCTACCACTACTAGTTTATTTCACAGTGTGATATTTTCTCAATAGGTCTGACATGTCTTTCTCAGGTCAATCCCTCCCGTCTTCCCGCGGTTGTTGGTGGACTTCTTGACGTTGACTGCGCTGAAGACATCGTCAAAAACCTGATCCTAACAGTCCGAGGACAGTTCTCTACAGACGAGCTAGTAGAGGAGGTTGAGAAGAGGAACCGTCTGAAACTGCTCATGCCCTGGCTGGAGGGGCGGGTCCACGAGGGAGTCAACGAGCCTGCTACTCACAACGCTCTTGCTAAGATCTACATTGATAGCAACAATAACCCGGAGAGGTTCCTGAAAGAAAACCAGTTCTACGATAGCGAGGTTATCGGGAAGTATTGCGAGAAAAGGGATCCTCATCTGGCATGTGTTTCTTACGAGAGAGGTGGTTGCGACATGGAGCTCATCAGGGTAAGAAACAAAATAAGATCTATTCAGGCCTGTGAATTGAGCAGTTGAATTAATTGAGCTGATGGCTGCCGCCTGCCATACTCTGCACAATTATTCATAGAAAGTTGTTTCATTATTTTAGAAAGTAACGTTAACTCTTAGGTGTGTAACGCGAACTCGCTGTTCAAATACGCAGCCAGACATCTGGTACGAAAGAGGGACCAACCACTGTGGGAACATGTCCTGAACCCAGAGAATACCTTCAGACGTCCTCTAATTGACCAGGTCAGATTATCTTTCCTACATCAGCAAGACATTTTACTTCACGGCTCCTTTTGTTATGTCCAGATATGGATTAGAATATTCATGAAATACCACTGTCTTACACGAATATTGTCCAGGTCGTCCAAACAGCTCTGAGTGAGACCCAGGATGCTGACGATGTCTCCACCACTGTCCGTGCCTTCATGGCTGCTGACCTGCCCAACGAGCTCATCGAGCTTCTGGAGAAAATTGTCCTGGAAAATTCTGTATTCAGCGATCACAGGAACTTGCAGAACTTACTGATCTTGACGGCTGTGAAAGCTGATCCTACAAGAGTTATGGAGTACATCACCAGGCTGGATAACTACGATGCTCCTGACATTGCTAACATCGCAATCACCAATCAGTTGTTCGAGGAAGCCTTCGCTATCTTCAAGAAATTCGATGTTAACACATCTGCCGTCCAAGTAAGTCGCCCTATTGAAATTTTACAGGTTTCTTTACTTGTACTCACAATGCAATCTACGGGTGTGTAGATAATCCTTCTGGTACCTTCAGTTTAATCTTGCTCAGTCCAATCTCCAAATAAACTATGTACTATTATCAGGTGTTGATTGAGCACGTAAAGAATCTAGACCGAGCGTACGAGTTTGCTGAGAGGTGCAATGACCCAACTGTATGGTCTGAGCTTGCCCGGGCTCAGCTAAACTCTGGAGCTGTTAAAGACGCCATCGACTCCTTCATCAAGGCTGATGATCCTTCTGCGTATCTAGATGTTATTGAAGCAGCTAGAGCAAATGGTATGTTGCTGTCTGCGGATAAATATTGCTTCACAAACATCTTGAGATTTTATTATTTTAAGCTAACAATTTGTAAAAGCCAGAATTGTGTTTCAATTCTCTCATTAAATCACTCGAGATATGATTTTGTTTAAAGCTAGACCTGATATTTTCCCAGATGGTTATGAAGACATGGTGAGATACCTGCAGATGGCTCGCAAGAAGGCCAGAGAAGCTATCATCGAGACCGAGCTGGTGTTCGCTTACGCTAAAGTTAACCGTCTTGCTGATTTGGAAGAGTTTATCTCCTCTCCAAACATTGCCCAGATCCAACAAGTAGGAGATAGATGTTATGATGAGGGCTTGTACGAGCCTGCCAGGATTCTCTACAACAATGTCAGCAACTACGCTCGTCTTGCATCAACTCTCGTTCATCTGGGAGAATACCAGGCCGCCGTGGACGGAGCTCGCAAGGCAAACAGTACCAAGACATGGAAAGAGGTAAGAAACACTTTAAAAACATTTGGTTTTTCAATATTTCTTTATTTTGCCCAATTTTGTCCAATCCTTCAAAGCACATGCCACTATTTACGTCAGATTGCTGAAATCCCCTCGACATTTAACATCAAACCTAACAAACTTTACCATCCAGGTTTGTTTCGCGTGTGTTGAGGCTGGAGAATTCAGGATGGCTCAGATGTGTGGTCTTCACATTGTGGTCCACGCTGATGAGCTTGAGGAACTGATTGGACACTACCAGAGCCGGGGCTTCTTCCAGGAGCTTATCCAGCTGCTGGAGGCTGCTCTGGGTCTGGAACGAGCTCACATGGGCATGTTTACCGAGCTGGCTATCTTGTACTCCAAATACAACACCCCTAAGATGAGGGAACATCTCGAACTGTTCTGGTCTCGTGTCAACATCCCCAAGGTACAGTTAAATTAATATCAGAAGTTTTGAGATCTTATTGTTGACATTTAGCAGCCTTAGTTTCACCGAATAGTGAAACAATTGACTTTTATTTTGATCGGATTTACTTTCATTTGTGTATATCTAAACTCCCTCATGTTAGGTATTGAGAGCAGCTGAACAAGCCCACTTGTGGCCGGAACTTGTCTTCCTGTATGATAAGTACGAAGAGTACGATAACGCTATCCAGACCATGATGAGTCATCCTACCCAATGCTGGAAAGAAGCCATGTTCAAGGATATCATCACCAAAGTTGCTAACATCGAACTATACTACAAAGGTATGCACGCTTTTCTAGCCGCATATCCTGACTGGATTTTGTGCACCAATATCCGGATAGTCCACATTATTTTCCGTTTTGCGCATGTAAAGCAAACGATTTCTTATCTAGAAACTTGATAGTAGGGTTGTAACCAGTGTCCCATTTCAGCCTTATCTCACTACCTGGAGTTCAAGCCAATGTTGCTGAACGACCTCCTATTGGTCCTTACTCCCCGGCTCGACCACACTCGTGCTGTGGGATACTTCCAGAAGGTAGGTCGAGTGGAGGTGCTCTTGGGTCACGTGGTTTTGTCTGGAATTTATACTTTACTAAAATTATGCTCCATAATAAAGCAGCATGATATGACCTGTCAAATGGCGACGGATATTTGGAAAATAATAATGGGTTTTTTCAGGTTGGCCAACTGTCTCTGGTTCTGCCCTACGTCAAGAGCGTCCAGTCTCACAACAACAAAGTAATTAACGAAGCCCTCAACAACAGTTACATCGAAAACGAAGATTACGACAGCCTACGGGAGTCAATCGACAACTTCAACAACTTCGACAACATCGCACTGGCTCAGCGCATGGAGAAACACGAGCTCATAGAGTTCCGGCGAATTGCAGCTTACCTCTTCAAGATGAACAACAGATGGAAGCAGGCTGTGGAACTGTGCAAAAAGGATCACCTCTACAAGGACGCGATGGAGTACGCAGCGGAGTCACGTGACACCGAGATTTCAGAGACTCTGATGGGATGGTTCCTGGACAACGAGAACTACGAGAGCTTTGCAGCTGGAACCTTTGTTATGTACGACATGTTGAGACCTGATGTCATATTGGAGCTCGGCTGGAGACACAACATCATGGACTTTGCCATGCCTTATCTTATCCAGTGTGTACGAGAGTACACTCTCAAGGTTGGTGTTGGAATTTTAGTTTGGAATGTCAGGAATCCTAGACCAATACCTCTTCCAAAGTGTAATGAAATGCCTATAACGTTATTCCTGACAAATATTTCATATTTTCACTTTTCAGGTTGATAAGTTGGAAGTGTCAGATGAAACGAGGACGAAGGAAGCGGAAACAAACAACCAGCAGCCACTAGTACTCGGTAAATATAATAAATTTTAGCTAACCCTACTTTCATTCGACTCTAAAGATATTTCCCAACACTGATTTTCTCATAAAGCTACCGATGTTTTATGAGCAACTCCGCACTTAAGCTGAATCAACCCATTCTAAACAGCACTGCTCTACTTTTTGCAATATTGGACACATAAATTTTACTCAAAACTTTCATACTGTTTAATGGAAACTATGTGTTATACCATTCCCACGTGTCTATTAGCAAGTTAATGAAGTAATCAGGTATCTGTGATTACTTAATTAATGGGTTTGTATCTGCCAGAGAGTCAACTGGCTATAGGATATTATTCTAGCTGAAGCTTTGTAAGTAATTTAAAGGCAGTTTAAACTTTCCGTGCTCTCTCTACCATGAAGTGTTTGTGATGTTCCCAATGTTAAGGAATTTGTTGTGAAAATGTATCGTGCGTTTATATTTCTGAAGAAAGTCCACATTTCAGAAGAAACTTGAGGTGAAGTAAACCGGTAATATAGTGTGTGTTTACACCTTTACTACACCTTTACTACACCTTCCTTTACTAACTTGTTGATATTTTCAAAGCAAAGATTCGCTTCTACTTTTATAAAATGATCCGGGATCAGCTGGAAAGAGCCGGCGATATTGCAAAATTATTGATGTAACTGAGTAACTAGATTACACACACACACACTCGAATTGCGCTGTAGTATTTCATAATAATACGTGGTATTCTCTGTGTGTAATGTTAGTGGAGTATCAGGATCTGTGTGAGCACAATACAATTTTAAACACTCTCGCTACATTCCTGCTACACAAACATCCGGCCCTTCAGCCGGTTTGTATGCACTGGTATTTACATTCTGTGGCATTATCTGTGTACAATGTACACACATTATCTATGTACAATGTACAAACTCGAGTTTCCTTCGTCTGATCCAGCACACAGCTCTGTAACTGGCCCTCACAACCGATATCACATGTTTAGTGTTTACAGCCTTATTTTGATGACTATTGGCTAGTGTATTTTAGGTTCAATCTATGACAAATGGTTAAAAGGTTTAAACCGTAATAGGAACCCTATCCCCGGCATTTACCCTCCTATTGACCAGTTACCTAATTACTCATTAGTGACTAACCCTACTCTCACAGGGGAACAACTGATGATAACGAGCGGCCCGGCCCCATACAGTCCAATGCCAGGAATGTACGCTGCACCCCCACAGCAGATGCAGCAGCAGATGCCTCAACAGCAGATGCCCCAACAACTCTACAACGGCGGCTACGTAGGCACCATGTGATCCGGACTTGTGTGACGTCACTAGAGGAGGGGGGATCAGGTGATCGCCACACGTGGGATCACACCACGACACACATCAAGGAGACTGGTGATCAGATCACGTGGTCTGTAGCCACGTGGTTTGTAGTCACGTGGTCCGATGGTGTGTAGGATGAGAGGACAATATGTGCATGTGTGAGCTGGACTCGCGACGCCCCTTACGTTTATATATACCCTTTAGATACTGAGTACTACTATGTTATACATTTGTTGTATATAGTATGATGTATACTATAGTTACTGCACTAAATGTATAGTATATTTACATGAGATTCGTTTGTGTGTGACACTCGAAAGGCGAGGATGTTCAAATTATGTGGACTGTATTATTATTATCGTTAATTTAGTTTTTGTGTCGTGGTATCAAAATTAATTTAGTTTTTCATTTCAAATACATGACGTTGATGTTGTATAAAGATATGCTAGTAAGTAGTGTTACTGTTACGATATATAATTTGGATGAAGGTATATGCGTGGGGAACACCTACGCATAATATGACTCTCGTTAAATAATGGTAAATTACTATTTTGATAGCATTTGGTTTTTAATAAGTAGTAGCGGTTCTTGTGACTGAAGATTGTCATGCCGTTCGTACTTCATTTGAAGCTAAAGGACGAATTTATTAAAAATCGAATTTACCCTGATCATTTGCGATGCTTTTATGAGTTATCTAGGTGTTTTATTATTAAGCTGCAGATAACGGACGCAGCAATGCATTTTAAAAATATTTCTGTTATGGCAAGAGTTACATTCCTTGTCTGTATAGTAATTTATACTGTACCCTTATTAAGAGGAAATATGGTAGGAATCGAGGAGCAAATTTTCTATTTCGTCGCTAACTTTGGTCACATTTTCCTTCTCGGTATGTTACATTGTACTTGTTAAATGAACGTTGAGATTATGTCATGATGATTTGTTTTGACGTCATGTTCAGTGCGGTGAAGCTAATCGAATAAATGAAATTATGATCAAAGACTTGTATTAGCTTTTGTTTTGGAATCAAGGCCTTTTTCCAGTTAAATTAGTGTTAGGAACAACATAATTGATAATTCATTGAATGAGTGCGGCAAACATCTTTTAAATAAGATGAAATATTACTAATTAAAATTGTGTTGTGATTCTCTTACATTTATCATTGAAAGTTGTTTTTAATTTGTTATCAATGCCACGAGCTATCAAGAATGAACTTAAAAGATCGTATTCAAGGAATCCAGTTTATTTGGAACTGGAAAATCACTTTGACTCAGTACAGGGAACAGTCCAACCCCAATAATAATAATAATATAGGGGGGGGGGGGGGGGGGGGGGGGCAACCATATTAAAGTATATTAATGTACATCCCCGGGTCAAAATCAGAAAAAATCCTACATTTTAATATACTTTAATATACCTACAATTAGTAGATTAGAAGATAAGCCATTTGCTAACTCATACTTCATATATTTTGGCTCATAAATTGGTCAAGTATCAATATCTTTGAACAAGACTAACTTTACATGAAAGGTAAATCTAATCCATACATTAAATAAAACAAAATTTTTCACATAATTTTTTATAATGTAGGTATATTAAAGTATATTAAAGTATATTAAAGTATATATCCCGGGTCAAAATTGAAAAAAAAACCCTACATTTTAATATACTTTAATATGGTTCAAAATTTTAATGGAGAAAATGTAGGTATATTAAAGTATATTAAAGTATATTAAAGTTCCCCCCCCCCCCCAATATACGCGTTCACTTAAGAAATGCCGTTTTGAAGGCCTTCAGGTTTCTCGAAATAAAGAGAAGACTTGATTTGAAGATTTTTGACGATAGTGGGGTCTGAAGCCGGATAATTTAAGCAAACAGTAAAGTTAGCAGTTTTAGGGAAAAAATTGAAAATTATTTTGTTAATCTTGTCGCTGCCTGACCCACAATCTTCTCGACTAAGGACCGAAATTTTACAGTTTTTACTGAAATTATCACCCGCAACCAATTATCATTAGTCAATTATTATAGATAGCATCACAATTGAGAATTGGGGGGGGGGGGGGGGGGGGATAACTTTCTTTGTTTTTTTTGTTTAGGTAAAAGTAGTTTTTTGAAAAAAACAAAAAATACGTTATCCCCCGCAGAAGTTTGATCCGTCAGTTACAAACCAATTAGTAAGTTAATTGATAATGGTATGAAACCAAATTGGGGTACTGGAATTAGTCAAAATATCGAAAAAAACTGGCAAATCATACTGTCCCATACTCTGTCCCATTTTCAGTTTTTGAAGATGAAATTTCCAGGGCCGAAATTTTACAGTTTTGGCCGAATTTCTGACCCGCAACCAATTAGTCAGTCAACTATGTCTATAGATGCCAAATGACACGATTGAGGTGCTGGAAGTTTGATTCGGGTCGGAGGAAGCCAACAGCAGAAATCTTAACAAAACGAAAAGTTGAATTTTCAAAAGTCTGTCCCATTTTCAGATATGAAAATTTCTGAACACATACATATACATATATAATTGCTTTTGCATCGTTTTATTGAGCTCGCTTATCAGCAAATTTATCTACTGAGCAAGCGTTACCATCGGCTATCTCTGTGTGTATACATATTGTCTTGTATATACATTACACCATGGTTACGAGTTCTGAGAATGGTGGCAGTGAAAAAGTTAAGATTATCATCGGGAAGCTTATTGATAAAGCTGAAATGCACGTTAGACCGGTTATTTCTGCTTTTGATAATTCTCAGTCGTGTGCAGCTAACACTAAGCGTTTTGATCGGTTTTCTCTCCCAATACTTGAAAATTGTGCGGAATTCTTAAGAATTTCTCTCGCTGACAAGGACAATTTCAAGATATTTACGAAGAAATCGCTTATGGATCGTCTTTATTGTGGTTTCCAAGCTTTGATGCCCTCTAAATGTGCGGAATGTAGAGATGGGATGTCCTCTACCCACAACCCCCAACAGCAATTCGTGTCTTTCTCTGAAGAGAATTCAAATCAAGGAACTGAAAGAATCTGCCAGAAGTTCTTGAGCTGGAACTGTCCGCACGGAATTAGCGGAAAGAAGACAGTGAATGGAAATTGTTGTCCCCTCAAACATCCCCGAGTTTGTAATCAGTATAGAGTGTCTGGGTTTACTGGTAAGAAGGGATGTATAAAGGGTAAAAACTGTGCATTTTTTCACCCTGATATTTGCAAGGTAGCACTCGAAAGAGGATCGTGTCTCAACAAAGAATGTTCCAAGTTTCACCCCCTTTCTTGTAGAAAGAAGAAAAAGGAAGAACCCACTCGGGACAGGAATCAGAGATCCGGTATGCAGACAACCTCTAACTATAAGTCTAACTCTTCTTCTAGTTCGAGTGGTTTTTTAGAGCTACGAGACTTGGTCACGGGGATGGCGGCCAAGTTAGCAGCTCTAGAAAAGAAAATGGATCAAAGTGCCCCGTCCTCAGTGTGCCACCCTCCAGCACAACCAGTGGGACAAATGTTCTACCCATCCCAAGCAGCTCCTGCGATGATGAGTTTAGGTGTTCCCAGGCTACCCCAGCACCAGACTCCCTTCTCTCTTCCCTCCTACTTCTAAACCCCTCCGCTAAGAGTGCCGGGAGGTGGAAGCTGCAGGACCTTATAGGTCACTTAGACGAGAAGCGACAGGACGGACACCTGTTTCCTTTTATCGCCATCACAGAATCCTGGCTGAAATCATACCACCATGATGCTCAGTTAGAGGTTCCAGGATACTCTCTATCTCGGTGTGATCGCAGTAAAAGTAGTGGTGGGGGAGTAATGCTGTACTCTCTATCTTCTATCCCAGTCTCCCTATCAGAGAGTTTTGATGATAGTGTTTGTCAGGGAATCATCAATCTCTACCCCTCTGCTAAACTCTGTGTTGCGGTGGCGTACAGACCTCCTGATGCAACGGCCGCCAGTTTCTCAAAACTGTTGGACAGCTTTACTCATGTTATTGAGAACTGCGCTCCGAGCGACTACGACCTCTTTGTTACAGGGGACTTCAACTTACCACAGGTGGATTGGGAAACGCTCCAGATCCGAAGTGGGGGGGAGATCAGACTCCAATCTCTCCGCTCAGTGTTTAATACGGTTTATGTCCACTCACCTGCTCAGCCAGATGGTTACAACCCCGACCAGAGGGAGCAATGTGCTGGATCTAATAATGTGCAACAACGATCGGCTGGTGTGCAATGTAAGCTGTGAAGCTACAGAAATGTCCGATCACAACATGGTTAATGCTCTCCTCTCTTTTAACCCTGCATTACTCGAGGAAGCTAAGCTCACGTATCTGGACGAAATGAACTTTCGGGCTCTAGATTTTAACCATACTGATTTCGAGGAACTTAACGAAGCTCTCAGTAGTGTGGACTGGAAACAGGTTCGAGATTCCACTACCTTTGAAGAATTTCCTATAAGTTTTACACGTAAAGTGCTAAACGTTTGTCTTGAAAATGTCCCAAGGAAACGCCCTCCTAAAGGAAAACCGAATGTCTACAACTCGCTGAGAAGGAAGAAGTCCAGACTCAAGAATCGTCTTTCAGCGGCAGAGTGCAGCGGCGACCATGCTCGAATGAAACAGCTTGAAGACGAAATCGGATTAATCAGTTTTGAGATTAAGGAAGCTATACTACACCATTTTGATGAAGGCGAAAGGAGAGCGGTGAATAAGATAAAAGCTAATCCGAAATACTTTTATTCCTACTCGAAATCGTTCTCCAAAGTGAAGCAAAACATCACAACTCTTCTTAATAGTGAAAATAAGCTTGTCACAGAGAAGAAGGATCTTGCGAACATCCTCCAGACTCAGTTTTGCTCAGTCTATAGTGACCCTAACTGCCCCTACAAATCCATGCCTGAATTTGCGGTGCCGCCTATTACTTGTCGAGATAAAGAACTTGTCCTCACTCTCGATCACGTAAAGGACGCTATATCGGAACTAAAGCTTGACTCTGCACCGGGACCCGATGGCATCCCCTCCATCCTGCTGAAAAGATGTACCTCTAGCTTAGCGGTCCCTATCTATCTCATCTGGACAGAATCTGTGTCGTCTGGCATCGTCCCAAGCTACTACAAGACCGGATATGTCACTCCTCTCTTCAAGAAAGGTAGCAGATGTGAAGCTGTAAACTATAGACCTGTGACGCTGACTTCCCACGTAGTGAAGGTGTATGAAAGGGTCGTCAGAAAGCACATGACCCAGTACCTTGATTCTAATGATCTGTTATCGGACAAACAGCACGGATTCAGGTCAAATAGAAGCTGTCTCACCCAAATGTTGGAGCACTTTGACGACATATACGAAGGTTTCACGAAAGGAAATGACACCGATTCAATCTACCTCGACTTTGCAAAAGCTTTTGACAAAGTCGACTTGGATCTACTTCTTCTAAAGCTAAAAAGATATGGATTCCAGGAGAAGCTCTTAAGATGGATTCAATCCTTCTTAACTGGTCGTGACCAAGTTGTTGTCGTGAACGGTGTGCATTCAGACAGCGCTAAGGTGTTAAGCGGGGTGCCTCAGGGCAGTGTTTTAGGTCCGCTGTTCTTCCTGTTGTTCATCAACGACCTAGAGGACGTGGTTAAGCATTCTAGAGTGAGCTTCTTCGCAAACGATATAGTAAGGGGAAAAGTGGTCGATTTAAGGGTTCCGTTGGATTTGAATGTTCACAAGGATTTCTCAACGGAATATGGTAGTTAGGACCCCTACGAACATAATTAGACTTGTTGCCAATTTTGTATCTCAACGGAAACACCACTTTTACCACTTTTTACCACCTTTGTACCACTTTTCTGGTTTGCCAAATATCTTTAGTTGTGAACGTCGTAGAAGGCTGAAAATTAACCTAGATTGTTTATCTTATCAAGGAGTAAAACTTTTGTATCAAAAAATTTTTACATTGGACAATCAGCTAATTGGATAATTACCAATTAGTTAATCACCAAAAAAAGTGAAAATTTTTGATTGGCTCAAAATGATTGAAATCGTTTGAAACACGGAGAAATGTAGTTTTTAGAAAAACTTCAAAAATTTTTCTCTTAAAATTTTTTTTCGAGACTTCAAAAAAAAAAGTTTGAAAATTTGAAAATATTTTTTTCCGCCAAAAGTGATCGAATTGCATGAAACGTGGATAAAAATGCTTTGCAGAAA